AGTGTGTGTATGTGCCGCCATTGTAATTCTGTTGTTGTTGTTGTTTGGAAAAATAATTTCACCAGAATAATAACAAAAACAAAAACAGATTCTCTTTTCAATGTGGGGTTATTTTTTCCACTTTACATTAATGATAATGATGATGACATATGATGATGAAAATTATTTTGACAAACACCAAACAACACACATTGGCTAAAGTCAATTCTTCACTGATTTTTGTGTTTGGTTTTCGTTCCTTGAATCCTTTCGTTACAAAGAATGATTTTTTTTCGCGTTGAATTTTTCTGAATTTTAAATTTTTTTTTTGGATCAGATTTGAATGTGAATGAAAGAAACAAAGACCAAAAACAAAACAATGTATGTTTCATTTCTGTTACATAACAAACAAAATTGACTAGAAATTATTTTCTGTTTTGTTTGTTGATGATTATTTGCATATTTACATAGACAAAGACAAAAATTATTTGTTCATCATCAAATTCATTCATACATTGTATTTGGCATTTTCACCTAAAAAATTATTCATTTTTGTTTCTGGTTTGATTTGGTTTCTGGTTTTGGTTTCGAGCCCAGATTGTTATTTCCAGGTCAAATCTCTTTATATGTATTCCATTCCATTCATTTTTCCTGGTTTTGTTTTTTTCCTGGAAAAATTATTATTATTAATCTTAATCTTGATTGGATTACGCAAGCAAGCAAGCAAATGTAAAATGTGTATATGATTTATGTTATGTAATGTATGTGTATGTGACTATCGATAAACATTTGTATATGGCGATAATATCGATATTTTTAATCATTTTTCTTTTTCGAATGGCACATGTTTCTATCTCAAATGAATGGGAATGATGGATCAATCTCACTCTCTCTCTCTGTTGCCTTTTTATCGTTATCTATTGATCTATGTATGTTATGTTTATGTCAATGTAATATATTTCATTATCAAGGCAATATTTCAATTTATTAAATTGACAAGTTTCATTCTATTCACTCTCACTTTCACTCTAATCATTCATTGTTTCACTCTTTTTTTGCCGTCGTCGTCGTTGTTTTTCGTTCACAATCATCAGTGATACTGAAAATGATAAACAAGTTTGTCAAAAAAAAAGCGAAAAAAAAATTCTTCAAACTACATGAACCCATAGAAGATACACACACACACACAGATTGTTGTTAATCTACATTATATTGGCTGCTGATTTTGCTTTTCCAAATTTTTTTTCCAATATAATGTTGTTGTTGTTATTAAATTATATCGAAAGAATCGTTTTTGTGTGTTTCAGTGTGGGCTATATAATCGAATCGAAACGAAAAGATTGAAAATTGATTGATTCTTTTCGTTTTTGTTCGCGTCCATATTATTAATAAATTTTTTTTAAGAAAAAAAAATTCTGGATGTCAATGTGATGATGATGAGGATGTCGTTAAAAGATGCAGAATTTTTTTTTTTGAAAAAATAGATTAATGATTTTGGCTTGCTTGTTTGCTTCACTCGACTCGATCGGTCGATTGCTGCTTGATTATCAAATTGATTTTAAGTGAACAAACATGGTTTTCGTGTCTGCCATGTTCCAAAAGAAAAAATCTTTGCTGCTGTTGGTGTGGTGTTATTTTTACTGTGAAAAAAAAACATTAAAATAACTTTTTTTTCGTTTTAAAAATTGGTTGTCACCATTCAGTCATTACCGCTTTGAAAGTTGGTGAATTTTTCGTTTTCAAATTTTTTTTGATGAAAAACAAACAAACAACAAACTTTCTTCAACAAACATTACTTGATCGTAATTTTCGTTTGCAAGAAAAAATAAAATTACCGAAACGAAAAAAAGAAGCAAAACATATCATCCCCATAATAATAATAGCAGAAAAACTTTGCAATCATCACTTTTATTACGGTTTTTACCGGAAAAAAAATCCACCACCACCATACATAACATATATTTATAATTATTATTATTATTATTTACCTTTAGAATATGATGATGATAATATCTTCATATACCCTGTACTATGTCATAAGCTTATCGTATTACATTTACTTTAACTTAGCTCAGGTGTGTGTATTTGTATATGATGTGTGTGATGTGTATGTGTGTGTGTATTCTTCAGGCAGTTCCGGTTGATGATTTTCATTTTATTTGGGTAAGCATTTATCACACACACAAACAAACATTTATGTGGTCGAAAATTGTTTGAGTAACAAAAAAAAAAAAATTTCAAATGATAATGATGATGATAAGCTTTGAAACATACCCCAAAAGTATAAAGTTTTATTTTTATTATTTTTATGGTTACCAGAGAGTGTGTGAGAGAGAGAGAAATGTCCCAAGCGATTTCGATTTGTTGTTCCACATTTCTCTCTCTCTCTCCCACTTTCACTTGGATACAAAGATCTTTTCAATGTTTTTTTTGTTTCGTATTGGTTGTTTGATGGTGGATCAATATCCAAAAAAAAACTTTTTCTTTTTCTCGATCCAGGTTTGAGGCAACGTTGTTCAAGTTTTGTTTTTGCTTTGACATTTTTGGTCATTATTTGGCCAAAGGTTATTACATGAAAATGTATCATCATCACTTTTGTACTGACTAATTAACAAATTTGATTTGATCTAATTTTTTCCATTTACTAATTTCGATTTTTCTGTTTGTTTTCTGTTTTCTAAACTATAGGATAACCAAAGAAACGAAAGCGAATTGTCATTTTTTTTTGGTAATAATGATAACATGATGGTTTAACATGTTTTCTTCGCGAACAACAACAATCATCAGATATCATCCATAATGTGTGCCATTTGTTTGTTTGTTTGATAAATTTTTCATCTGTTTTTTTCTTTGTTGAATGTTTTTATTTCTTTTTACTTGTGATCATCTTTAAATATTTGAAACCGACCGGACCGAAACAATGAATTAAACAAATTTATATATAGATCATTATCGATGATGATGATAATGATGATAAGTGAAAAGAATTGAATATTGAAAACCAACAAAAAAAATATTGCTTCTTTTTTCTTTTGTTTCTTGTTGATTACACATTGCCATTCAACACTATCATCATCATCATAATCATAATGATTATTAAATGATATGTTTGTGTTTTAATAATATAATATTTCCTATCATTTTCATTTCTTCCTATTATTACTCTTTTTTTTTGGTCTACTACTTTCACTAATGGCATTTATTATTATCACATTCTTGGTTACATAATACTAATACGTTTTTTGCCATCCTCATCATCCTCAACAACAACAACAGTATTGCAAATGTAGAGAATTTTTATTAATGAAACTTTTACACGAAACCACAACCAAAAACAAAAACAACAACCAAGAAACATATCAACAACGACAAAAAGAAAAATCCATTTCGAAAATGAGCTTTACGTATCACTTACCACCGCAACAACAACAAAAATCGATATCGATAATGATGATGGAACAACAACAACATCAACATCAATTACAATTGCAGGATGTTCAACGACATAAATCTTATCATCAACAACAACAACAACAGCAAAATCTTACATTTAATAATCAATATCAGCAACAGCAACAACAACAAAAATATCCAATATCAATAACGAATGATTATAATTATCATTTAAAAATGTTTACCGAAAAAATTCAAACACAAGAAATTAAATTGAAAAAATTACGTTTATTAAAAGGACAAATTCAAAAACAACGTTACGAAAATTCAAATGTTTGTAAGTAAAATTATTATTATTATTTTGATGAAGATTGGAAAATATTATCTAAGCTAATTACAATTCATTTTCCATTTGAAAAAATGGATTCTTCGTCTTTATGGATTATTATTATTATGATGATTAGTTTTGAGGTCGTCAATTGATTGAATGAATAAGTCACGAATACTCTTTATCGAATATCCCACCAAAAAAAGAAAAACCACTATTTAATTCAAACATGCCACACACACACAATCTCTAATCATAATAATTTTCTATGCAAAAATGCCAATATCTTGTGGATAATTTCCATAATGCTTTTTTTGTCTTATATAAAGACATTATAAGGAATAAGTGATAAGGGATAGGGATAGACTAGAAAAATAGAAAAACCATTTCCGTAAGTGTCAGTGTTATAGACGACGACGACAACAACGACCAAAAAGCATCTAATAATCATCATCCATGGAAAAGAAGTAAAAAAATACGAAAATTCCTATTAAAGGAAAAGAATTATTATTATTATTATGATGATGATTCTTTAGGTCTTCGTCGTCGTTTTTATCGAAAAAAATTGAGTTTGTTTTTATAGCGTAGCGCAAAAGAAAAATAAGTTTGATTATGTAAATGATGATGATGACGATGATGACGATGATGATGTTTAATTATTTTTTCATATAGAATTTCTTTATTTTATTTTCTGTAGTGAAAAAAAAGAAGAAAAACTTCTTCGGTTAATAATATATTTATAACATTTTCACGATGATGATAAGGGTGATTTATATATTTATTTACCAAAGTCATTGAAAATTTGAATTTTGTTGAAATAGAATAATAATGATAAAGTCTTATGATATATATTTTTTCCACTCTTTTTTTCTCGTTTTTCACATACAGGTTCCGAATTGGAAACATTGAAATTATTATTCAAAGAAAAAGAACGTGAATTATCAGTTGCATTGAATAAAATTGATACATTAACTAAACAATTGGATGATATTCATAATAACAGTAACAAGAAAAAGAATCATGCAACAAACAACAACAATTCATTATTACTTGATTCGGAAAATTTTAAACAAGAACTTTTGGTAAATATTTATTCATACATTTCGTACAATTTTAGTTTGATTAAAATAATAATCAGCAATAACAACAGTAAACAGACACACACTTTCAATTTGTTTGTTTGTTTGTTTGTCGGTATCTTTCTCTATGTTTTAACTTATTCTTTCTATTTTTTCGTTTTTCTCTCCAGTACAAGAATAAAATATTCAAACAAAATGATGATGAATTATTACAGAAAAAAAATCTATTACAAAAACGTAAAACAGATGTAATTTGTTTGGATCAACGTATACAAGATTTACAGGCCAGATTGATGCGTAAAAAAATTATCAATGAAAAATTGAAATTATTACAACAGCAACAACAAAATGAATCTGAAAAATTGAATGTATCATCAGATAATCGTGGAAAAGAAAATGGGCCACCACCACCACCACCATCATCATTGTCGTCTAACCAAATTGCCATGGGACAGCAATTTATTTCATCATCGATGATGCATAATAATAGATTAATGGCTACATCATCATCTCATAATAATAATAATAATAACCGCATGAATCAAAATTATAGTAATGGATATAGTAGTAACGATAATGGTATTAATAATAATAATAATATTGCTACCGTTGAACCATTACAGCGATTGAAAATGGATGTAAGTGTTTTTCGGTTTAACATGATCTATAAAAAAAAAAGCTTTTATAATTTTATTTTTACTATCAAATGTTTTCCAAACAGTACAATATGATAAATTCAACCTATTTATTACAACAACAAAAATCTAATAATCATCAAATAATACGAAAACAATTCATTAATGATGATGATGATGATGAAAAATATCAAACATTATCTTATTATGGTGCCAATAATCAATCGATTGATCGAAAAATTGAATGTGATCGATTAAAAAATGGTGATATTTCGGTTATAATCAATAATGATAATATCAATAGAGGTTATATGTTGAAAGATGATAATCATAGTCTTGAAGAGCGGCCATCACCATCCGGTAGTAGTGGATCATCCGATAGGATTAGTTCTTCAATGAATACCTATAATAATTCATCACCCAATCATCGTCATCATCATTATGATGATGAAAAATCAAATTTTATGGACATTAAATTTCATAAAATGATCATGACCAAAACAAACAACACGACAAATAATGATTCAAATCAAAATGATGAATTATCCACCGATCAAATTGATCGGACCAATAATAATAATAATAGTGTTGAAATGCAAAAAAATCTATTTCCACATCGTTTTGTGCCAAATTTAAATTCAATTCAACGTCACGGAAATGGTAACAATATTTTCATTCAACAACAACCAAAAAATAATTACAACAACATGACAACAATAGCAACTACTACTGCTAGTAATAATAATAAACCTTCAATGCCAGTAAAACCGATTGGTAATAATAATGATAATAACAATAAGGATCTCAATGAATCAGCCAACAACAATAATAACAGCACTGCCCCCTCATCGTATAATAATAATGATGATTCTGTTTTCAACATTCATTCTGCTAACAAGTAAGACATAGATTCTATTTATTCTCTCTCTTCGCTAGAATTCATTAAATTCTCCCTCTTTTACTCTTTTTTTTGGTTCAATTCTCCAATCGATTTGATTTTTTATTTCTTTTTAAATAGAAATGAAATTCAAGAGAATTTGAAGGAAAATGATCGCAATGAAGAAAAAGAGGAAAAACGACAGCATCAACGTTCAAATAGCGTCGTTGAAATTGTTAATAAATTGAACAATCTTTCCTGTAAAGAATCATGGGAAAAAATGATGAAAAGAAGACCGGTATATGATATGAATGAAATGGAAAAAGAATTGGAAAAATCATCACCAATTCATAGTGGTGATGATGATAATAATAAAAAGGATGAATATTGTTCGATGAAATATGTTGATAGTAATGATAATAGTCACGATACTATTGATAAATGTTGTGTTATTGTCAATAATGACAAAGACCAACAAGATGATGCTGTCAATAACAATCATAATCATAATGATAGCACCAAATTGTCAAACCATACGGAAGACAATCATTCTTTTCGTCATATCAAACGTATGAAAGGAAGCCTGAAAAAGGATGATGTTCAACAAAGAATGCAACATTGTTTGCAACAACAACAACGACAATGTCGACGTGTTAGTTTCGATCCTTTAGCATTGTTATTGGATGCTTCGTTAGAAGGTGAACTTGAACTTGTTAAAAAAACTGCCATTCAAGTAAGTGAATTATTTGAATTATCAAGATAATAAATATTTCTATGATTTGATTTGATTTTGTTAGGTTCCAAATCCAAGTTCATCCAACGATGAAGGCATCACTGCATTACATAATGCTACCTGTGCTGGCCATTTTGACATTGTTAAATTTCTAGTTGAAATCGGTTGTGATGTTAATGTTCAAGATTCGGATGGATGGTAAGTTGTAAAATATATTAATTAATTCTTTTCATTTTGTATGATTTTGCATTATTCAGGACTCCATTGCATTGTGCTGCTTCCTGTAATAATTTGACAATGATTAAATTTCTTGTCAAATCGGGTGCATGTATTTTTGCCACAACTTTTTCCGATCTGGAAACGGCAGCCGAAAAATGCGAAGAAGAAGATGAAGGATTTGATGGCTGCTCACAATATCTATATGGTAATGAAGATTTACTTTTTTTTGATATTAAAAAAAAAGAATAAACTTGACACTAATCATTTTTCTCTCTACCTTATCCAATTTTAGGCATTCAAGAAAAATTGGGCATCATTAACAATGGCATAGTGTATGCATTATATGATTACGATGCACAAAATGATGATGAATTGAGTTTTCATGAAGGCGATATTATTCAAGTATTACGTAAAGGTGATGAAAATGAAAAAGAATGGTGGTGGTCCAAAATCGGTAACAATGAAGGCTATGTTCCACGAAATCTAGTTGGCGTAGGTGTTAAAACATTTCACATTTGATTAAATTTAAAATACTAATGTGTTTCTTATTTATATTCTTGTTATTACAGCTTTACGCTCGGATTAAGCCAAAGGATTTATCATTCAAATCTACAGAATCAAATTGATTTATTTTAACGACGACAAAAATTATAGAGCTGTGATCAAATACATTTTTATCAATTTCAATTTTTTTAACAATGTCCTGTAATCGGATTCCATCAAAACTATCACAGTTTTTGAGCATTAAGAGATTTCTTATCCTTTTTTTTCAAAAAAATAAAAGTTTTATTCCGTCCAAACATTCAAATATCGATGATTGATTTGCTTGAACTTTGCTGCATCATAATGGTTCAGACAATTTTGAAATAATTATGATTATCTTTTTGGACACCAGATGGTAATGCATCTTTCTGTTTTTTATTTTATTTTTAGACCAAGTGCTGCCATCTAGAATTCGGCAAAAAAAATTTCATCAAAAGTCGCCGCTCGAGCCCAAAGGGTTAACAAAATATAGCATACTTGAAAATGATTTTTCCTGCCATCTTGAAATTTTAATTCCGAATTGTTTTTTGAAATTTTCACATATACAAACTTTTGGTTTTCCAATTAACAAAAACAGAAATTTTGTATGGTTTAAAACAAACTTTGTATTTATAAAGAATCACTATTGTATTAGGAAGGAGAATAAGGATGTGTGTAGGTGTGTATATGTAATGAAACTCTGACCAAAATTCAGTGAAATAAAATCAAACGAGGGCAAGAACTGTGGTTATTGTTTTCAAATATTTCATGTTAACCTTTTGGCCTTTTGATATAATGAATCGACAACTTTTCCAATACTATGTATTGTTTCCAATGCAGCTGCATATGTTTTATCCGTTGGCTGATCATCGAAAATGATCAATACACCTTCAAATTGATCCAAAATACCGCTGAATTTTTCATCCAAAATCATCTGGGATAATTTCTTTTCAATCTTATCTTTCGGCAATTTTATTAATGATGCTATGTAGGCAACCTGTGTGAATGGATAAATATTAATCAATATGAAAATGAAAATGATATATCTCAACATACTTCAACCCGAGAATAAGGCTCAATAAGACGACATAGATTCTGTTCCAACATTGTATCGTATAGTGAGTTCAGATGCGCTTTTATGATCGGATCATCACAAAGCTCTTGTTTGTATGTTTTTAATGCTTCCTGATAGGCATGTAAACTACGATCATGGCTTGCTTTAGCTATAGCTTTCATAGCATCAATATTCGGTCCAGAATATTTTAAAGCTAGTTTTCCAACTGTTATGGATGGTACATCATCGGCACTAATTGTTGTTTGTTAAATAAGAATGAAATGATCAAATTTCTCAATAAGAAAACAATATTTACCTATTTAGCATAATTTTGGATAATAACATGTATTTAAGAGCGATTGTAGCTTTATGTCTTTGATCGATAGAATCATAGCTTTCAAAGGCTTCATAAAAATATGAAAATGCCGTTTTAAAATCACGTTCATCGGCAGCATGTAAAATACCGGATTGTAAATCAAGTTCGGCTTGAAGTTTCGGTGGACAATAGATTGCATTGGCTGTTGTACGTGCACTTGTTAATGCAGCACGTGCTTTCTGTAGATTCGATAATGCATGATAGGTTTTACTTTCAAGAAGTAAAACTTCGACCAACAAATTTTTATCATCAAGTTTTTTCAATTCTCGTAACAATGAAGAACTTAGTTTCAATGCTTCGGGATAATTTTTAAGATCATAGTAGAGAGCGATTAAACGCGTTTCCAAAGATTGTCTTAACAATGATCGCTTCTCTTCTTTAGCCCATTCAATACATTCGAGACATAATGAAACTTCAACACCATGTTTAGTGTTCATATCCAAAAATAAATCAACTAAATGTCGAACAATTTTGGCTGCTTTTGCTTTCGAAAATGTCTTCAATACAGGTCGAATCTCACGAATGAATTTTGCCAATCCTAATCACATCATTAATTCATTAAATATCGAGATAATGATTTATATTTCAGTAACTTACCTTCAGCATTTCCACTTTGGCTCATTTTTTGCCCTTGTTCGATAATTTTATTTTCATTTTCCTTGCTAACATCTTCGTTTTCATTCGAATTCGATATTATAGCTAAAATTTCAAATCAAAACAAAAAAAACAAATTAGTAAATTTGAAATGTTTCAATGAAAACAAAAAAGTAAACTGTCATAATTTGAAGACTACCATCAAAACTTACAAAAATTTTTCATTTTCTCAATATCAAATTCCTCATATTGTTTACGTTGTTTATTGAATTTTTCTCGATTATCAACAATCATGTCGATTGCGGCCATAATATTGTTTTCAATCAAAAAATAGAATCAGAATTTTTTTCGCTCAAGCGATGTTTTATGCAAGAACAATGTAAAAAACACTACAATGGATATTTTTTTAAAAAGAAAATTGCGATTTATATTTTTTTGTTTGCGCGAAGTAAGAAATTAAAAATTGTTTTTGAGCGAAGAATTTTTCACAAATTAAAAATATCAAAAAATCACTCATTCGACGTAATATCGACTAACAACATCAATCAAATCGCACACAAGAACACACAAACAATGGCATGACTTGACAAAAACTCGCAATGAAAAAAAGAGAAAGAGAAATTCATAGATGATAGGATGCGGGATGTTAAATCCTAAAAAGATGTTTAACAAAATCATTTTACATAACACCTACACTTTTTCTACCTCTTCAATCAATAATAATGTCGTTGCCCTCTTTAAAGATATTGAATTCAGAAGAATCACCACCCCACAATAATAATGATGATTTGACTTACCTTTTTGGATCATTTCAGAGTTGTTTCGAAATAATATTCTGAAATAGAATCTGAATAGCCAAATTAGTTTTTCAAATTTTTCAAGTATTATTATAATTGATTGAATTCGATTTTTAGAATTATCCACAAAAAATTTATGCAAATCGGATTAAAACAATTGTTGCTCATTACCAAGCATGGATTTCACATTAATCATAACGATTTTTTCATTATTATCATTTGAAAAGATATATCCAATTTATACACTTGAAAATGGCCTTGTAAAAACACCGCCAATGGGTTGGTTATCATGGGAACGATTTAAATGTGAAATAAATTGTCATCATCATCGTGATAAAAATAATAAATTGGTTGATTGTATTAGTGAAAAACTTTTCATACAAATAGCCGATACACTTATTGAACGTGGTTATCGTCGTGCCGGTTATGATCGTATCAATATCGATGATTGTTGGTCGAAAAAAACTCGTGAATTGGATGATGGCCAATTGTTGCCGGATGATGATCGATTTCCAAATGGTATTAAATATCTTGCAGATTATGTATGTTTTCTATTTGAAGAGATATAATTCGCATCCATTGGTTTTATCAATATTGTTTTTTTTCATCGATTTTTCATGATTCAGATGCACAAACATGATTTGAAATTGGGAATCTATCAAAATTATGGTCATCGAACTTGTATGGGTTATCCCGGGATATTAGGTCATGAACAACAAGATATTCAATCATTTGCCGATTGGAAAGTTGATATGATTAAATTGGATGCATGTTTCACTCCCAAACTAACGCAATTGGATAATGGTTATCTAAAATTTCGTCAAATGGTAGAAAAAACCAAACGACCAATAGTCATATCATGTTCATGGCCATATTATCAATTGTTTGCTCCGAAAATTCATATCGTACCGAAATGGGATCTTATCTCGTTGAATTGTAATCTATTTCGTGTTTTTCATGATATCAACAGCAATTGGAAAATGATTCAAAAAGTTATTGACTTTATGGGCGATAATCAGCAAATATTTGGTCGTATTACCGGTCCTGGTAGCTGGCCTGATCCAGATATGGTAACTTGGAATTTATCTCTTAGATTCAAACATTGTTTTCAATTGATTTTTTTTGAAAATTGTAGCTTATGATTGGAAATCCTGGTTTAACAGTTGCTCAAGCTGAATCACAAATGGCAATTTGGTGTATACTTCCAGCACCATTATTCATGTCGAATGATCCACGCCGTATTGATCCTGAATTTGAGGAAATTTTATTGAACTCGGCTGCCATTTCAATCAATCAAGATGTAGATGGTAAACCAGGGGAACGATTATTTCACAATAGTACAATGGATTTATGGCGTCGATCTTTGAGCGAAAATCAAATGGCATTGGTTATATTGAATCGTGATTATGATCAACATTTAAAAGTTACTATTCCATTGGAACAAATTGAAACCGATGCTTTTCGTCGTAATCAACATATACAAGTTTTGAATATATTTTCCAATGATACATATCAAATACAACGAAAACAAACAACCGATAATAATAATACCAAAACATTTATAAACGTAACGGTAGAACCAACCGGTGTTGTTTTTCTCAAATTGATGCAATGGAAAAATTAATCATTCGTTTCATCATGGGAAATGTTTTCGCTTCTTTCTGTGATATTCAAACAAATTTTATTTGAGACAATATATAACAATCCTACAATAATAATAATTTCAAATTAAAGAAATTATAATGTTTTGTTCATTATACAGACCAATTTCTGTGTGATGTGAAATGAAAATATTTACAAAAATTTTTATTTTTCGTCATTGAAATTTTCTAAATATATAAATTGATGAAAATGATGAATTGGAAAAAAACCATAAAACAATATTAAACTAAGTAATTCATTTTGTTCAGAATGAATGAATCAATCGGGATTAAATTGATCATTAATTTTATAATAGATATCATTTAGACTTGATTGTATATCGGTTGAATTTAATTGTTTATCATCGGGTTGTTCTTTATTTGGACTAGATGCGGAATTGGATGAAATTGATAAAGATTCTTCATCAATGGTTGTCGGTGAACAAATTTCCATCGGTTGATGTAGTTGTTGTGGATGATGTTGTTGCTGTTCACATTCACTTGTATCCATTTGTGAGGAATTACGTGAATATGATCGTCGTGGTGATGGTGTACGACATAATCGTTCCATTAATGATTGTTCAGTAAAAAATGGAAATGATTCACGATATATTGGTGTGGCAATAGGTGTTGCTGGTAATGATGAACGAAATACAGCTCTTGCAGGTGGTTGTTTAATAATATTTAATCCTTCCATCGATTCCATATGTAAACGTTTTAGATGACGAAAATGATGTGACATACAAAACATTGTATTGAAAAATATTCCGGATGATCCTCTTCGACAATGTGATGATGATCGTAATGGTGTATTCATCTGAGAAAACGATGCCGTTGTTGTTGTTGCTGATGATGAAGATGTAATCGAAGTTGCGGCATTAGCAGATGGACGAACAAAATTCTGAAAACTAAGACCAGTAGTGGTCGGTTTTTTAAATATATTTGAATTACAATCTTCGTCGATTTCCATATTTTATTTTGTAGTTGCCTGTCATTTTTGGTAATGATAAGTGCGTGCAAAAATATTATCAATTAATTGTTTCAGGCTATATAATGGATATACTTTACCTTTGTTACAAAGTAGAAAACAAGATGATCAATCAGTCAGTCAAATCCAAATCACCATCACAATATTTTTGGGGTGAATCGTTGACTCTTTTAATTTTTATAAAAAATCTACTCGAAGAAGTTAGAGAGACTAAAATATGGAAATAAAAGTGAATATCAAATGAGTGTTCGGTGAGAATGAGAAAAAAACAACTGGATGGAAATGATTTTGTTTGGAAGATATATATTTTTTTTTGTTTAAGATCAAAATCCTCTTATGGGCACACACAAAGAACTGAGAAGAAAAAAACGATGATTATTTTAACAACAATAACCGTAAATAAAGGGTCAAATGTAGATCGATGATCATCATTATAATGTTGGTATGATGATGATGAATGTGTTTAGCAACATTTACTCTTTTTTACAAAATTTGGGTCATAAAAAAATCATAAAAACTGAGAAGACAGAGAAAGAGAAAAAGTTTACAGAAGTGATTTTAAACGATTATCGTCGAAAATTAGTGATATCAGCCAAGACAAATAGACACGGATGATTTCAACAGCTCAAATAATTGATTGATTGATTGAAAAAGTAGAAATAGAAAAATGATGATGATGATCATTCGAAGTGATATCAAGGAAAAATAAACAAACCAAACATCTTTTTATCGAATAATTTTGGATGATAAATTGTTATTTGAAATGATCCAGAATGATTTGAGTTGAAATTAAACACACACATCGCAAACAATAGAGCATAGAATATAAATAGGGGGAGGGAGTATTGGCCATTTGAGCTCATCCAAACTTTAATGATTCTTCACACATACAGAATTGATTCGCTTGATGACTATATAGTAATTCATTTTTGATATTCATTTCGTTTGGAAAATCATTTGTTTGATTGATTTATCATGTTATTATCATTTATTTTGGGATCATTTTTGTTGCACTATCTATTTTGTGATCAGATTATCGTTTTATTGTTTAATCGAACATCTTTCGATCAAGTTGTTCGATGTATTCGATAACACCGATCTCGAGAGAAAAAAATAAATATCGAATGCCATTCATTAAGGACGTATTCTTATGATTCGCTTTTCTGCAAAATCATGTGGCAATAAAATTTGTAGAATCATTTTTTTTTACTTAAGCCAAACAGGTATTACACTTTTTTCCGAGTTTCGCTTCAAGAATTAAAGGTATTTTTGAATTTAAATTTAAAATGATTGATTTATTAATTTTAAAGATAGGTTAAAGAATGTTTTTGAAACGAACCATCACTACCGGTAATCTGTTTTTGTTATTAAACATATGTCTATTTTTATTGATCAATCATGTTTGGTGTGGTGTAAAATCATCATCTTCATCACAAGAAGATTCTATAAATAGTAACAAAATCAATAATAATAATGATGATGAATTTGCCGAATTTGAAGAGCTAGATGATGATGATGATGCTAATAATGATGAATATGTTCGTCCAATATCATCGACACCGATGTCGGTAGAAAAACCGTCGGATAAATCATCGAATCAAGTGCCTGAACAATCCAAATCTTTTAGCACTCAAGATTCTGATCCGGATTCGATGATTATCGAAGAAGATGATGAAGATGAATTCGAAACTGTTCGCGAGGAAATTGATGATGAAAAACCGTAATTATTGTTTTATTTACAAACAAAAACATATAATTCAATTTGATTCTCCATACAAAATTAGGTTAAATTATGATGAACCGAAAAAAGATGGTATTCAATTTACAAAAATACCATTACATTTACGTACAAGTTGGGAAAGTTATTATATAGAATTTATCTGTATATTTGCATTGGCCATTTATTTTCTAAATTATATGGCCGGTCGAAGTCGTAACATAAAATTAGCCAACACTTGGTTCGAAAAGAATAAAGATATTTTGGAATATAATTTTGCATTGGTCGGTGATGATCTGAAACAAAAAATCCAGGAACCTGGCCTACTAAAAGAAACTGAAAATGTTTATACGCTATGGTGTTCCGGACGAACATTAATCGATGGAATGTTGATCGAAATACGTTTACAAAAACGTCAGGATCTATTTTCAACAATCGTCAGTTATTTTAAACCGATCAATGATAAAATCGTATGTTTTTTAAAAATTAATACAATATCGATATATAATCTTATTTTGTTGTTGATTTAGTTGATCAAAGCATTTCTAAGTGCTGATTCAATGGATAATTTTGTCTTCTGTATTGCTCAGCGTAAAATTGCACCGAAATTATCGAAAGAAATGAATGATCTTGTAAGAATCTGTTGATTATTTTTTAAATTTGTTATTGTTAAAACTGTAAATTATGTATAGGCAACATATTGTCCTGAACGAAAAAATCCGGAAAAATATGGCATTACAAGTGATAATTACCTTTTATTGAATGAAATTGGTGAAGCAGCATGTTTTATTTTGGATTCAAAAATAGTATCATTATTGGATAAAAATGATGATATTATTGAATTCATTCATATTTCTGATCAATTTTCCGGTGTTCGTAATGAGTATGTTTTGTTTTGTTTTTTATTTCGAAAACTGATTTTTTTCTGCAAATATAGTGAAACACAATCGATGGCTACGAAATTACCTGAAGTTAAAAAGATGTTAATCATTTCTGTGAATTGTATGTTTTGTTTGATTGGTTGTATTTTGGTTTGCAAAAATAATTTATGTTGTTGTTTCATTTTGTTAAGTACCATCAACAATTTCTTCGCCAAATATGGATGAATTGGATCGTTTAAAACCAATATTACAGATGGCATTCTATTTGGTGGATAAACTTAAACGTTTTCGTTTAAGTCGTGAAAAAAAAGTAAAATCCGATCGTAGTCGACAGAAAATTGAGAAATTATTTTTACAATCTACTCATCAACAACGACAAGAAGCAGCACAAATGAAACGTGAAGAAAAACGACGTGCCGAAAAGGAGAAAATGTTACAGGAAATGGATCCGGAAAAACAACGTAAATGGGAAGAAAAAGAATATAAACGTGAAATGAAGAAAAAGATACCGAAAATGAAACAACTTAAAGTGAAAGCAATGTGAATAATCATAATAATACAAAAAAACGTTGAAAATATTACACATAAAATTAGAAATCTTAATGATTGTAAATTTTTTTTTGTTTGTTTTGAAAATTCTCATTATTCAACAACGATATTTATGTACGGTGTCACACAAACGAGTTTCCTTTTAAAGGAATTATATTCTTTTTTTATTGTTGTTATTTGATGATATTGATCAATTATTTCACATAAAAAACAATTACAATCGATTAATCACGATAATAATGATGATGATGTATTATAATATGTAATGATCATTAAAAACGCAATGTAAAATTGTATTTTGCAAACAAAAACAGTCCATTATCATTATTATGGACAGGCTCAAGGTGCGCAATTCGAAGAATTTTTGTCTCTGCTAAAATATTCGAATTCCTTTGTTCTTTGTTCTTCCACACATTTCGTTTGTAAATAAAAATTTTAATAAAAAACATAAGAAATTTAATTGAATTTTCTTGCGAAAAAAATAATGAAATTTTTTTAAATATCATTTCGAGACTAATGATGATGATGTCTGCGAAAAGAAGAAAGAATCACGATTTGACTATTACTATTATTGTGTAATTCGACGAGAATATTCATAATCAATATCCATACCAAGAAAAGAAATGTGATGTCTATATTGACAAATATAACAATTGAATTGCAATCATTATTTACCGATTTCATTCATTCAATCAAACTAAACTTATTGATTAATTAATTAATTAATCACGATTTGGATTTTCTATCTAAATATATCCATTTGAAATATCGATTCCTACCATAATCAAAACATTAATCTAATTGGTATATCGATCACTAATGATAATGATGATGATGATGAATGGCAAACGAAATTCGTGACGAAATTTGGAAAAGAAAGAGGGATCAGTGACCAATGATCGAATATTGGTTTTTTCCCTTTCCTAATTCAGAATAATTTTCTATGAAAAACCTTTGTTTGTTGCTTTTGATCATAACAAATTTATTTAATAAATCAAATTAATTAATTAATTAATCAAGTTAGCATAATGTGTTGATGTGTTAATCCATAATATTATTATTTATTCAATGACAATGTTTGTTTTTGTTTTCCAAAAAATTTAGTTATTCAAATCGATGAGAAATGTGTGCGTTTTGTTGATGTTTTAGAAAATTTGTTTGATCGAATTTTTATTCTCATTCAAGAATTGAATTTGAAGGAAATGTGAAATGTGAAATGCGAAAATGAAAATGAAAAGAATCTATCGATACAAATCAATCAATAATCTATATCTCTGTGTGTGTGTTTTGTGTGTTTGAAGATTATGCCTGTTGTGGTTTGCTTGAGCAAATACTAAGTACAAATGGTTTTGGTGAATTTGGTGGGTTATGAATCCAAATGATGATGATCATTCACCGAGGGTTATTTTCGACAAAAAAATTTGATGATGATTATTTGTATTTGTGTGTGAGTGTCTTTGGGGAGAAAGAGAATGAGAATGACAATAATGAATTGATTGAATGGAATCGATAATGATGATGATCAATAATTATGCACGATGAAAATATTATCAAACTATTTTTCCAAATGATTTTGATCGATTTAAACTGATTTTAAAAAATGTGTGATGTTGAAGAAACATTTTTTTTCAATTTGTTCTATGGCATGTTCTACCTGCAAAACCAAAAAAAAAAGTTTTGTTCATTTTGTCTGTGTGTGGTATGGAGAAGGTGTATGTACAGAAAGCAAAAAACAAAATCAATTTTCAATTTTCCTAATTTCTAACTGGCAATGATAACTGGAACAGGATTCAACACATTTGAATTTGGCATTACAATTGAATTGTTATTATTATTATTATTATTATTATTATTATTATTGACTGATGATGATGACGAGGACGATGATGACGATGAAGATGATGATGATGATGAAGATGATGGTAATATCGTACCATTATAATTTCGTTTTGTTATCAGATTTTGATCATTATCATTGTCATTATTATTATTATTGTTATTATTGACAAATGTTGAAACAGATGAAATGATTGGCTTTAATGGAATGGCAGGTTTTTGTTGTTGTTGTTTTTGTTGCAATGATGATGATGATGATAATACTGGTTTTGGTGGTGAATATTCAATACCAATCAATATTTGTTGACAACCTTTCAGTTCGGTAAATATTTCGGTAAAATATGATGGTTCACTATTAATTTTTAACATTTTTGTACTATGATTATTAATAATAAGTAATGTACGTTGCCAAAAACGTTCACGTGTTTCATAATGTTCAATTAGAAATGGTTTTAATGGATATGATATTTCATTACCCATATACGAATAGCTTAAATATAGGCACGTTAATACAATTGCTTGTAATTCTTGTTCATTATCAATATCTTCCGATACCATTTCTCGTAATAACATATATAAAAATACAACATTTGCTGGATTTATGAATGCCATATCCTATTTAGTTTGTAAGATTGTTTTATAATTTTTATTGATTAAAATCAAATTTAAATCAAATGAAAAAGTGAATTTACCTGCCATCCTTGCAGCAACAACGAACGATCAACAGTACGTAACCATACAATTGGATCACCCGGTTGAAAACCACTTGGCTGTAATTTTCGACAACGACGACATAAAAATTCTCCTAAACATCTTAATAATTCGGATGTTGATGCCTAATGGAGAAGAGAAAAATTGAAGATTTAAAAAATTGTTTCACAATATCGATTTGCATCTTTCTGTGCTGTGTGAATGTTTTGAAATTTCTATACAAAACAAATTCCCAGAATCCCAATGATTTTTATTTGGTTAAATCCCTTATTTTTTCGAAAAATAATCCAATACATAGGTTTTCAAGGATAGATATTATGTATGTGAATGAGTCATCATAAAATAATGGTCATTATTTTCTCGCTCTTTCTATTTGATTAAGTCATCATTTTTAACTGATTTCTGATTCGATCCTATATATAAAGGACATTTATATAGGATTTTTGTATGCGATGTGATGCGCATCCAATTCTACATTTGGTTCTGTATGATTTTGTCAAAAATCTAAACATCAGTAGAGAAAAACCGAATGGAACAATTTCACCGATGATTGACGTAAATAAAGTCATGATTCATTCATGATTTCAGAATGCAAAAACAAGATTAAAATTAAGGAGGATTAGAAGAGGTTCTTTTTTCGTTTGGCTTATTCACAAGTGAATTTGTGTATGACTCATAGTGACAAAAAGATTACCTGGATAACTGTTCGTTTTTGCTGTTGATGTTGATGATTTGCTGTTGTGTTTGCAATAGTTTTTTTACTGGCCAAATTTGCTATCGATTCATCAATGGAAGACAATGTTGTCGATGATGATAATGAATCATTCTGATTACTCGGATTCTGATTATTCGATGATAATGATGATGAACGACTAATACTTATATCGGATGGACGCCGAAATGATCCATTTATCATTGGATAAATTTGTTGTTGCTGTTGATGTTGTGGTTGTTGTAGAATACTAAATAGATTTGTTGTTTTTGAATTATTATTATGGTTATGGTTATTGTTGATTTTACTAAGAAAAATGATTGGTTTTGTTGAATTAGCCGTTGTTATGATTGGATGATTATGTTGTTGATGTTTTTGCTGTTGTTGTTGTTGTCGATGTTGATGAACTTGATGTATTGTTGGTGATTTTATAATGACCGGTTCCGTTGCTAATAATATTGGTTTTCGTGGACCATTCATAAATGTTGTAGTTGTCATCTTGGGACTAATCTTTGATTTATTATTTTTATCTGATGATAATGTTGATGATTTGGTTTTTGTTGCTAAATGTGTTGTATCGATTATAATGGAACATTTTTTCTTTGCAACAACTTTATCATCATGTTGCGGTAGTTCATTATGATTATCATAATCATCATCATCATCATGATCTTGATCTGGTTCTAAATTTTTATTAACATTTTTAACCAATTCAATATTGTTGGTTGTTGTACCTGATTTAAGATTGTAACATGAAAATGATTTTTGCATTTTCATTAAATTCTTATCAGCAACATTATTATTATTATTATCATCATTATCACCATCACCGTCATTTTTATTGATCGATTGATACTGATGGTGATTATTCTTTTTCCATTTACCATTATTTATGGTGGATGTTTTGTTAAATTGCTGTTTGGTGTTGTTTTTGGTATTACCACTGTTAGCATTTTGATGAAAACCAAAATGTTTGCCCAAATGTAATGCTGATATGAAATTCAATGATTTTTTCAATCCATAATGATGATGGTGATGCTGCTGTTGTTGGCCATGATTTTTCGTACCACCATATTGATGATTATCATAGCCATTCAATGAATTATCATTGAATGTTTTGGTTGTATTTGGATGATGATTATTATGATGGTTATGATTGTTGAATAATCCACCTAGGCGAAAATGATAATGATGTTTTCCCGATGATGATCCATTATGGTTATTATGGAACCAATTTGATGATTTTATTGAATTACCATTACCGTTACAATGATGATATTTTCCTGTTGTCGATGTGGATGTTGTTGATGATGATGATGTGGTTGATGCGGATGATGATGAAAATGCAGTTGTTGGTCGATGATCATTACTTTGATAGATAACAACTTTGCCACGATCACTTTGCAAACTTAATACGGCACCCATTTTTTTTAATTTTAATAAATAAATGATTCAACAACAACAACTATCAATGACAAAATATCATTCTGCCATGAAAAATTTCAAGAACAATGTTATAATGATACAACAACAACTTTATTCATTTGTTTGATTGAAAATTTACTCTAATTTTTTGGTTTTTACAAAAAAAGAAAACATAATAATTATTCTCTAACTAAGATGATTTGATTGTGAGTCAAAAACATCAACACAAATTGATTGAGAAGAATATCTATTCTTGAGCAAGCAGAAGCAGCAGTGAAAAAAAGAGTAGAAAAATTCTGACTCACAACATTTTTGTTTCTTTTGGTTCCAGGAACAAATGATGATTATCATTATGGAAAACACTGGCAACCACTACTTCCAGATTTTCATATATAATGTTCTTATAAAACGGATCTGATATGCTTCACTGACATTGGTAGTTTATTCCAAAAATTCTTGAATCTTCCCTTGATTCTTCTCTAGATAGTTTCAAATGGCTATATAGAATTGGTCTTGTTTTTTGTATTGCGCCATCTCTCTCTCTTTTCATCATTAGTGTTCCAGAATCATTGATGTTCCAATGTATGGTGTATGAGGGTAATCCAGACATTCCATTCCATCGATGTGCTATTGAGAATGCGTCATTCATTCATTTTGGTTTGGTTTTTGTATTCTATTTCCATTTCCATTTCCAATACATTTCGATGATGATGATGATCAGTATTTTGTGTGCACGCGCAATTATTTCTCTGGCTTTTTTCGAATGGAACAAAAACAAAAGAAACTTGTCTGTGTACTGTAGATGATAAATGATGTTATTATTGATTAATAATATTTATTTATTTATTTGTCATTATTTGATGATGATGATGGGAGATATATTTGTTTTTTGTTTCTTCATCTGATTATATAATGAAATTATTCAATTCTACCCAAAACACAATGAATAATGATGATGATGTTCAATAGAATTTGATAAAATAATGATGTTTCCATTCAAATTAAATAATTTGAATCTTTTATTTTTGTGTTTGTACCAGGATTATTTTAGGATGATTACGATGGCAAAAAACTATTTTTTGTGTTTTTTTGTTGTTGTTTTTTTCCCGGTAATGATGTTGATGGTTGATTAAATTAATTAACAATGTTGTGGTTGTTTGTTGTTATTTTCATCTGCAGGTAATTTAATTAATTAAATATACCTTAATGACTTTCTCTCTCTCTGTGGAATTCAATAGTTTCCCAAATAATTCATTAAGAAATAAATAATTTATCTGAAATAGAAATTCTTTCCTTTATTAGAATATATTTGAATGAAAAAATTCGAAAAATAATTCCAATTTTTATTCAAAAGATGGCGCTTAATTTAACATTTTATCCAATTTTTAAAAATGTTTGACCATCATATATTCATCATCATTGAATATTTTTTTTCGAAAAAAAAGGAGGAAAAAATCCTTGCTGCGTGCCTGGCGCATCCTAACATACAACGATGGATGATAATGATTATGATGATGATAATGTCAACGACCGACAAATGAGAATCTTCCCCTTCATACACAGCAAACACATTACAATAGGGAAAGCGCCTTGTTGTGGTTATGAACCAAACTAAATCGACTAAAAAAACTATAACAAACAAAATCAACTTTAAAACACACAGATATCGACTGGCTCAATTTCTGATCTCTTCTGGGTAATCATAATAATGCAATGTAATGCATTTTGGGTTCTGTTTTTCCAAATAAAACGAATCACTAGATTGGATGAATCACACGGATGCGTCATCATCATCTTGATCTTGTTTTGATTATTTAACAGAGAACTTTTTTCCATTCAATGTTATCTCTTGATGATGATTGTTCTAAATATATAAGTGCGTGTGCGAGAGATTAGATATTACCAAAAAAGAAAAGAAGTGTGCATTATACCCGATGAGCAGTAAACCAATTGTTGCTCAATGTATTAAAATTGAAGATTTTGTTGATTTTGGATTGAAAAAAATGATAATGTTGTTTTTTCTTGTTTCTGGACATTCGGATTCAAGGTTGATTGACCACATTGAACAATATTATATTTTGGTTTTATTCAAATCCAAGTTACCCAGTGAGTCAATTTAACCATTTGAATGAACGTGATTTTCGTTCCAAAATAAATTGTTACTACTCTCTCTCTCTCTCTCTCTCTCTCTTCCCCTGATGTGTGAAAGGGGAATAAAAAAAAATCTTTTAATTTTGTCCCCAGTGTGTTCTTTTTTCTTTTCATGGTGGTGTAGTTAGTAATCATCTAAAATATTTTTCCAATCGGATTGTTCCATTCCGATGAAATAAAATCAAATTTGCCAATATGTATGGGGTATCTTTCAGCGTACCAAGAAAAAAAATCTTGGTATCGTCCGTAATACCATTTTCCATACCAAAAAAAAACACTAAATGTGAGAGAGAAAAAGAGAGTAAAAGTATGTTTTCATTTGAATTCAAACAAAAAAAATGATGCTTTGAAATTTCAAAAGCAAAAAAAAAACATTATTTTCTTTTGAAATTTCTTTCAAATTCAAATTGAAAATGAATGAAAGCTTTAATGTTGTTTTGGGAAAAAGCTTAAACATAATTGTCTTTTGTTGAAATAGTCTTTATTTGATCATCATAATCGAATTTGTTCGAATTCTTTGATCTCATTTCTTTCAATAAGGCAAGAGCACTATATGAAGCCAATATCACCAAACAGCCAAAAAACTTAACCTAATATATAAAGACAATGCTGCTGCTGTTGTTGTAATAACCGATGAAAAACGGGAATTTTTTGACTTTGAAAACTTATTTTGTTTCATTCATTTCGATAAAGAAGAAGAAATAAGATTGTCAAGATTGATGATAATGTTTTTTTTTGTTTCTTTCACGGATGATGATGGTGGTGGAGGCTTTTCATCATCATCATTATCTTTTTGTTGGCAATTCTTACAACACATGTGATTCGAATTCTATATATCTACCCCCTCCTCCCTCTCTCCACCCCCTCCATAACAACAACAATTACCACTACTACTACTTTTAGTTTGTTTGTTGAACATCGTTAAATGGATCACCATTTCTCTATATCGATGATTAAAATAAAGGAGGGAGGGAAAGATGAATGAAAAAGAGAAGAGAAGAGAAAAAACATTTTAATGAAAAAGATTGTCAAAAAGAATAATAATGATGTGCGCATGATCAGAAAATGATTTTAGTCATTCTGTCTTTCCGTTTGTTGTTGTTGATGATCAATACAGTGAGACTTCAGTTTTTTTTGTTCTGATTAATTCAAATTTGCCTATTTTTGTCTTTTGTGTTTGATTCAATTTAAATTTAATTATTCCAAAAACCAAATCAAAGACAAAAACGAAAAAAATTAGCATTTTTTGCAATTGAATTTATGATTCGATTTAAATCAAATTAAATTCAAGAGAAAAGAAAGATTAACATTATCGAAACCTTATTTTATTTTATTTTCTCGATTGGGTGATTGCTCTGTACATTGAGAAAATGATGATAATAATGATGATGATTATTGCATACACCAAAGCAACAAACAAACATCGAAATGAAAAGAAATTTTTCTATGTTGAATGTTGAGAATTGAATATATGAAACAAAGAGAGAAAGAGATATTTGCTTCCTGCTTTTCGTGTATGTAATGTAATGTAATGTTTTGGGCATGTGGATGGCATGATTATCATCATCATTATTGCTTCCTTCTCTCTTTCATCCTCAACATTGGAATGGATCGGTTGATCGAACACACAGTGTTGTTTGGCAAAAAAGTCTCGTGAGCTATATTTTTTTCGTTTCTCCAAAATAAATTCGTATGTTTGATCACGATGTTGTTGTTATGGTGGTGGTGGGTCATACTTATGGGTTGAAATCATCATCATCATTGTAGGATGTGTGTGTTTGTGTGGAGTTTTTTCTGTATTTTCTGCCCATTATAATACCAACCAATCTTATGACTTTCTGTTGTTGTCGAGGCGAAGGAGTTTGATTTTGGTTTTGGTTTTGCTTAGTTATTATGTTGGATACGAATGTTGGTGCAAATGTGTTTTATAAAATCATATGGGATTTTCAATATTGATCATTGAGAATTCGTACATTTTACCAAGAAATAAATGATGAGGAATTTATTCAATGTTGCCCTTCATTCACTATTCCATCAACAACACCCAAAAATTATTTTTTTCAAATCAGAATTTGGCTGATCTATTTTTACATATTTTGAAAATATGCTTTTTCTTTCATTATGTTTTAATCAATCCAAGAATGAATTCTTTGATTGATTTATCGATGAAAATTTTTTTCTTGGATCACCCAATATCAAATCTTACCTGGACTAAGTTTTATCTATTTACCTGGTCTGTCTGACTTTCTCTCTGTCTCTCTATATGATAATCATAGACCTTGAACTATGACCTGATGATTGTTTTTGTTTGGTCCTTTCTTTTCTTTGAAAAAATGATAAATGTGCGATTTTGGCTTTAAGGAGAATAAATTTTCTTGACTAATTCTTTTGCAAGTTTAGAGCTGACCTTTTCATTTATTTTCTTGTTGTTTTTTCGAATGAGAAAAAAAAGAAAATTAGCTAATCTTATGTGTTGTAAATGTGATTACATCTATCGATCCTTCTTTCTCTCTGATGATGATGATGATGATGGAGATGGCCAAGTAAAATTAAGGAAAAAGAGAAAACTTGAATCTTGAATAATGTGAACAAAAAAAGAACAAAGAAAAGGTCATTGCAAATTGGTTGGTTGGTTACCATCCATGCCATTATCATAATCATTAAGAAGCCAAACAAGAATCACAAGTGTTATTGACTATGAAATCAAAGTTGAACATAAAAACAACAACAACTAATTACAAGTGTAATTTTCATCTTATTATCTGAATCGAAATGTCTTATTATTTCATCAATGAATTTTGGGAAGATTCCTTTCTTTCCTTTTGCATAGCCTAACCTAACCTAAACTAAATGAAATCAATACATTTTTACATGGATAGGAAATGAAGGAAATCCACATTTTGTTCAGAATAAGATTGACTTATTGTTTTTTTTCGTTTTTGGTTTGGTTTGGTCTTCAACCTGACTTTCTCAACAACATAATCGATACAACTCCACCGTCAATTTTGCTGTTGTTGATGATGATAATGATAATGATTGTGGGTGTAACATATATCATTATTATCGGTCACATACACACAACAACAACAAACACTGTATATATACAGCTGAGAAGAAAAAACCAGAAAAAATATCCAAACATTTATACAGGATCCACATCACATGATAACTATTTTTCATACCACTACCATTTTTACTGTCGATAATAGTGCATTTCTCACCCTCACTCATTCAAAAAAAACGACAACAACAACATTAATGTTAATCCTGTAATGTCATATGACTTTACTTTTTCTATATTCTTCATATAACAAATATTACCGCTATTACTATAATTTTTGAGGTAGTAGCATTGGATATTGAGAGAAGAATGATGAACAGAAGACTATCATCACACACCAGCTGTATCCATCTCTCATCAGGATCCATAACAACAACAACAGCGGCTGCTACCGGCTTCTCTCTTTATCATCCTCCTCATCCTCTTTCATCATCATCATCAATGAATATCTTCTGCTAATGTTGTTGTTATGTTATGTTTGGTTGGCTGTATCCGCTACTCTGCTTTGTGTGCATTCGTTATGTTATGTTACAGACATCATTCGTCTTCAAAACGTAAAACAAGAATGAACTGAACTCTATGTATCTATGTATCTATGTGTTATATGAATGGGAAAAAACTTCATCTCATCTCAACAAAATGAAAACAATAACAACAAAAAACCTATGGGCCATTGTTATAATGATGAAAAATTCTCTTGGAGATTACAAAAATTTTTTGGTGTTTGCTTGACAATGTTTGTTTGGATGAATTTTGAATGAAATTTGTGAATTTGGTTTCATCGAGGAAAAAACCCTACATAAGTGTTTATCTGCCTGTTTATCAAACATTTGATGTTGGCATTTTTGGTTTGTTTGTTTCTTGAAATCATCATCAAATATTGAATATGATAATCGAATCAAATGAATTGTAACTGAAAAAAGCCGGTATTGATCGATCGGGTCATGATGATGATACTGAACTGGATTGATTTGATCGATCGACTGATTTGATTTATGCAAACAACATCAATTATTCGATTTTTTGATTTTTGTGTGTGGAAATCATCATGTGAAAATGGAAATTTGTTTTTGAATTTGTTTGTTTTGGTTTAGGTTTTCTTTCTCTCTCCACCGTGTTTTGTTGTTGATTTGATTTTGGTTTTGGTAACCATCGATTATCAATTATCTCCAACAATGTCGACGGCAATAACATCATCATCATTACCGTTAGATTCGACGATGGCATCATCAACATCATCAACATCGACATATCGTCATGGTAAATTTTCAGCAACAATCGGTACAATAGTTAGTGCACCAATACGTGGTTATTATTATCCTGGAAAAGTGAAAGCAATCAAAAAACTATTACCACCGATATCATCACCAACAACAACAACAACAACAAAGCTGCCAAAAGATTCATCGGAAAATGCCAATAGCAATAACAATAACAATGCCAACACTAATAATGCCAATACCAATGGTCAATTGATTTATTCAATACAATTCGCTAATCCATTAGATTCATATAAATTTGATTCCATGGACGAATCAATTGCCATTGGTAATGAACAACAATCAAAATCAAATATCGATAATCAACAATCGATATTAAAAGATGAAAATCTAATATTAGATTATACTGCTGATCAATTAATTGGTCGTGGTTTTGAACCGATAACACGTGCATTATTAAGTGAAAATCAAAAAGTATTTATTACTTTTCGTAATCGCGAATATCCGGCTTCGGTTTTAAAACATAATACCGATACTGATGATGTTACATTGGCCATTGATTTACCGCCATCATCATCGTCGACAACAATATCAACCACAACTAACTCATCGAACACACCCATATCATCCAATGATTCACAACAACAGCGAGAAATTTGTGTGGTAAGATTGCAAGAAATACGTTTGTTACCATCAAGAAAATCGGCTAGAATCCAAGAACATCCAGATTATAGTTTACTAGCATCGAATGGTCGACGATCACCATCATCAAATGATAATGGTGATATTCCATCAACAACAACAATGAATAATAATGCAAACAATAAAACTAATAAACAACGACAACGTAATCAATCTGGTTCAAGTATTTTATTGACAAATAACGGTGCTAGTGATGAACCAAATCTACCGCATCAACAATCGGCTTTTATCGATGTACCGCAATCAACGAATAATCGTTTTGGTCAGCTACATTCAATGTAAGTTTTTCTTTACCGAAATTCATTGAATAATGGTGGTGGTTTTAGTTTGGTTGAAAAGAAAAGAAAATTTGCACTAGAAAGTCGTTAATCAATGATGATGGTGAACCATTAAAGAAAGATGGAGAGATGGATACACCTGTATGTTGAAAAACTCTGCAAGTGTAAAACTCTAGTTAGTTTCCTAATCATCATCATCATCATTGATTTTATTCAGGCCAAACTGACTTTCGTTCAAAACTAACCTGATGATGATTAAACCTGTTTATCGATTATTCATCATGGTTGAATTTTTAATGAAAAACAAAAATCCGTTTTCCTTTGATTATCTAATAACTCCATTGTTTTCCACCATTAAATTGTTGCAATTTTTTTCTTTTCTGGTACAAGGAAAACAATGATTACCAGATAGAATTTGATTTGAAAACCGAAATGAAACAAAATTGATTTTCGCTTTTTTTCATTGGAACCCAAGATTCAAACAGCTGTTGTTCCAGCAGCAACCGTTTGGATTTTTTATTTGCGTTTCATTGTTTTTCTCCCTCCCACTTCCCCATCTCCCTTTTTAATAAAATGGTTATATGCGTCACACACATATGTGTGTGCGTGTGTTACAAACAAAAAACAGAACACAGAAAAAACAGTTCTGTTTCTGTTCTCTTTCTCTCTCTGTTTTTATTACCAAGCCTGTCATCAACATCAAAGTTGATGAACTTTTTTCCATAAAAGCTTTGCTTTGATATTGTGTATAGCAAGCAGCAGCAGTAAGTGAAAAAAACAAAGAACGTACGAAAAAACGTAACGATAAATACGTAACAAAAAAAAATGAAATGGATAAAATACACCCTCCGTTGTTATTGTTTTGATAACACAATGGAGAATTTGGTTGGTGTGTTTGAGTTTGATAAAGCTAACTGATACTGCACAGCCAATAACCAAAATACATAAAGATCAATCACATCAGATGTTATGTGATTACCAGGAATCTCTTTTTCTGATTGAATTCGTTGGAAACAAAAAGAGGAAAATTTCCTATGAATTTTGTTTTTGTTTCTGTTTCTGGGTTGGGTGAGGAGTGATTGAGATTTGAAAAAAATGTTTTAATTTTCTATGACACCCATCTTTCATTGTCATTTGGTGTGGTTTTTAGTTTTTGTTTGTGAATGATGTGTGTGTGTTGAATAATAATTAGCTTATCATCATTTAATGATGATGATGAGGATGTCTTTTTCCATCCAACCACAAACATCTATTCTGAATGAATTTCAAACAACAACAACAGATAAAAAGATTCAATTACAATCCAAAATCTCTAATTACATTTTAATTTTTGTTTTGAATAAGTTTCATTCGATATAATGATGATGATGATTATGATAAACTAAATGCATCATCATCAGGTCGTTATCGATAAATAAAATTTTTAACACTTTAATACACTTGATACGTTTCATATACGATGGTAAATGCAATTTGCGTACATTATTTATTTATATTTATCATCATCATTGTTATCAGATAATGATGATAATAATAATGGGTATACCTATTTTTTGATCTCTTTTTTTTGTTAACCGATAACCTGGGTTTGGCGAAATCCATTAAATTGCCAAATGTAATGTATTTCGTTCTATGATGATGATGATGATCCTCTGATCGATTGTCATCCACATCATTGATGATAATGACCAATTTAATCTAGTTTTTTTATTTTTTCTTGAAAAATTATCAGATTAAATAATGGGTGTTTATTTGAAATGATAAGGATGATGAGAAATTTTTGGATTACATCATTGCATCATTTTATCATCAAAAAGCAAAAAATCATTAATTTTGATGGGAAAATTAAAAACGAAAATTTTTTGATACAAAGTAACTTTGTAAATTAAAATTTTAATGTTACTGATTGATGATGAGATTCAAGATTTGTTTTTTCGAAAAAACATCCTTTTTTTCTCTTTCTATTAACATAATTGTCTTTTTCCGCATTTGTGTGTTAACGAAAATTAATTTCATAAAATAGTTACCGGGAAATATTTCCCCTATGAAAATAACAATTTTTTTCGAAACATTACTCCAAAGAGTTCAAAGGTTATTATCGTTGAATGAATGAATATCATATTTCCATTCTCTAAATATCATTATTATGAAAATTTTTTTTCAAAAAATTTGAATATTTTTAACATGACATATACAAATTTGTCATTCATTTTTTTCAAATGTTTTTCATAAAATTCTCCCTCTCTTTATATATGTGCTTAGAATGATGATGAAAATGGAAATGGAAATGAATGCAAGCAACAAAAAACCATTAATAAATGTCACATGTGTTTATTTTTGTTTTGTTTTTGTCGGATTTTTCAATGCTATATTTATTTATAATGGAACCATTATAACATGAGAGAATGAATGAAAATGTTTGAATCAAAACCAGTGATGATGATGAATATATATAGCGTGTTGAACCAAACAAATCAAAGAAACAAAAATGATGGTGATGGTCAAACTAACTATAATATGGTCAACAAATAAATATTTTGTTCATTTTGTTGAGAATAACTAAATAATAATCCTTGACCTATAATACTTTTGCATCGAAATAATATTTGTTTTTTGTTTGGCTACAAATTCATTAAACACATCATATCATTTGATTAGAGAAAATGTATTTAGTAGTCTTTTTTAATTTTGGAACATTGTTTCAAAATTAAAAGAGGAGAGAGAGTTTTTTGTTTGGAACAAGTTTTTTTCATATTCCACTCTTATCTGCATGTGTGTGATGGCGCCCTCAGTAAAAAAAATATTTATTTCATTGATGGTTTTGCAAACATTATCATTATGATTTGGTGGTTTGTTTTCTGTTGGTTTTCGAAAATTGATCTTTGAAAATTGCGATATGATGGTAGGGGTCAATAATCGATATTTGATTTGAAAACATTTATAATCAGTATTAAGTGGGAAGAATTTTTCTTTTTGATAATTTTGATTGATAATCAAACAAAATAACGGTACTTTGTTTCGTTGAACTATATCCAGGACAAAAGGGTCATTCTCCTGATGTGTTCATTTAACTTTTCCTACAAAGCCAGATTTAAGCGGAACAATTTTTTTTGTTAAGCGCAAACAAACTTTTTTCTAACACCAATCATTAATGTTGACTTTGTTCAATTTTTTTTATATGTCATTCAGGTTTATTTATTTAATATTTATGAATAATTTTGTTTACAATCAGAATTATCGATAAATGATTTATCGATCCAAGTATCGATAGTAACCGTGATCATTTCTTTCAACCTAATCAATCTTATTTTGTTGTTGTTTAATCAGAACAAATATGGAAAGAAAATATGCGTGTGATTGATTAATTTATGTAGTTTTCAAGGTGTGTTTCTGTAAAGAATATTGAGTTTTTTTGTGATTTTTTGTCAAAGTGTGATATTTATTGATATAAGAAGAAGAAATTGAAAAAACGACCTAGTCATTTAGATAATCAATTGTTTTGCAAAAAACATTATTATTATGATAAGTGGAGTGATGATAATCATTTTCAATCCAAGTTTACAACTTGTTGCTATTATTCATCATTATCATCATCATCGCCGTTTAATGTTTGTCCATTTACTTTACTTTATTGGAAAAGAAATCGTTTAAACATTATTTTACCCAATGATGTTTGTTGTTGACAACAATTTACAAGAAATCTCTCTTTCTTTTTACGTGATTTTTGCTGAGTGTCAACATTATTATCATATAGACCGTGTGTGCTATGTCCTACACTATATCTTTTTCATTTTTTGCAAATCTCACACTCTATTTTGGACAATGGTAATGGATTTTTCTGTTTTTGCATCCAAGATGATGGTGATGATGAAAATGAGGTCAACATTTTGCGAAAAAAAATATATATCTGAGTAAAGATTGATAGAGAGAGAAAAAAAGAGGCAAAGACAAGGCGTTATGCAACATGCAATGTTGATGTTGATGGTGAGATTGGAAGAAAACGACCAAGAACAAATTATTAATTGAATGTATAATATGATGATGATGATGATGATCTATATAAATCATTTTAGGACATCATTCAGTGAGTGAGAGAGAGAATCTCTCTTGTTTTTTCTTTGATTTTCGAATCGTGATAAAATCTCGATTTTGGACATTATCATTATCATGACTGGATTTGTTTGAAAAAAAGGATGCTAAATATATTATATCATCATCCTTTTCAATCAATTTGCAAAAGGTAGTAATAGTAGTTATTTGTTGATTTATGATCAATACAGAAACAAAAATGAATTATTTTCTTTCCTCTGATCTTATTATCTTATTATCAATATGACAAGTGTTTGTTGGTTTGATCGATAATAATAATAATAAGTGTGATATATGTAGACAAGTTTCAAATGTAATGAATTCAAAGAGATGTTTGACCTTGTTTTTTGTTGATGATGAAAATTGTACAAGGTACAATCCTTTTTTTTGGATGATAATCTCAATGATAACTGTATGATTCTGTTTTATTTTGATTAATTGTTTTTGATGACTATAACATCATCTAATCCTTATCTGATTTCACGTTGTTCTAGTTTTTTTATTTGAAAACATCCCCGAACATAGATAATGTTATTAATCTTGTCAATAAAAAAAGATTATTTCATTTAATTTGATGACATCATTTCAATCAAATCAATCAATGGTGTAATATTGGTTAGTGAAAAGAGATTAATCAATCGAATCGATTGATTGATTGATTGGTAATGTTTTTTGTTTTTGAACATTTCAAAATTATCGTCATTATTATTTGGATTACCATAGATAAAATGTAATTAGGATTTTGTTTGTTGATTTTTCGTTAGTTGAAATCATGATTAGCAATTTTGACATTCAATAATTTTCATTCATTCATTTATCAAAACAAAAAAGCAATTTATCCAGGTAATTTTTTTCCTTTTCTTCGTTTTTTTTTGTTGTTGCAAAAGGCATTATCATTATGATTATGATTG